GGGGGTCCCGCGGCACCGGGGGGTCCCGCTCGGGCACCGGGGGGTCCCGCGGCACCGGGGGGTCCCGCTCGGGCACCGGGGGGTCCGGGACGCGCGGGACTCACCCCCGCACTCGGGGAATTTTCCTCCCAACTGACCGGAGAGCAGAAGAAACAATCAGACACGAAACCCGACGACCTCCGGTTCTCGTTTCTCACCCCTGCCGGCCGAAGCAGAGGGAACAGCCGTTTTCCTCTCGGGGCTGCGGGGCCGGGAACGCCGCCCCGCCAGCAGCGGGAAGGCACCTGCACCCAAACTGAGTCTGATGGGAAATATCTACCAGACTGCCTTGTCAATAAGGCCCATGTATCCATTTTTGCATCAGCTAAAGTCCTTACTAGCACTGTTCAGGTTACTTACGCTACCAGGGCAGCAGGATAAGGCCCTAGGAAGGGGCTTTGGTTGCAACATGGTAAATTCCTTTCCTGTAACAACACTGAACCATGCCCAGCTGATCTCTCCTAACCACCAGCAATCATAATATTGAAATAAACCCTACACACAAAGGAGATGAAAACAACCACTGAAATGAGCCTCCACAGTCCCTGCAACATTTGCACATCCTTTTCTGAGTCATGCACCTCAGCACTCAAAGGTCTTGTTCCTCCCTTGCTATTAATAAAAATATTAATTCAAGAACAAGGCAAATGTATGCATGGCTGGAAGCAACACTTCTAGTATCTTTAAGAAGTTGAGTGATTTGAAAAAAAAAATAATTGAAAAAAAGCAAGAATCAAGTTATCAACACTAGTCGTGAGCAACAGAAAGTGTAGTTTGGCAGCCAAGGTCTTAATTTCCCAAGCCTGTTTTCCTTTTAGGCTGCTCTGGAGTGCAGCTCTGCAGGCACAGGTGTTTCACATTCAGTCAGTCTTTCCACCAGAGACAAACCTCTCAAACAAGAGAATGAGAACAAAAGCCTCCCACACACACAAAACCAAACCCACACATCCAGATACTGGCACAAATGGCTCTTACAATCCATACATTTTAATAATGAGAGAGGCAGACAGGAAAACAGGCAATTACACAAAAGAATTTATTCCAAAAGTTGGGATAAAAATGTTTCATTTCTTTTTTTTTTTTTTAAGCACGTTACAAACATTTGGCAAGAGGAGACATTGGGTTTCAGCCTCAGTGAGCAGGCTCAGCTGCAGGGCGGTCCCTGCAGGCAGAACGGGCAGCACACACATCTCAGCACTCCCGGCTGAGCTGCAAGGCAGCTCCACAAAAGGTGATGCTCCTTCTCAGTCAAGTTTGCTCACGCCTCCATCTACCAGAACCCAGGACGGGACCCAAACCTGAGCACAGCTCTTGAAGTGGTGACAGTGGCCATTTTGACAACTGCTTAGACATCCCGAGCACGCGCAACTACAGTTCAAGTTAATGGCAGAGCTGGATTAAACCTACCCTTAATTTCATGTTAGCATGGTTTTGCTTGCATATTCAGGCACCTAACTTCTGGAGCACCTTCTGAACCAAGCAGTTTTGTTGAAAAGCATTTTCACTGTCTTGACATTCTGTGACCTTAGATGCATACGAGAAAAGCAAGGATTTTTATAAGCACTAAACAGAAGCCAACATAATTATCAAATATGAGCTGTTCATACACCAAGTATGGAGTGTAGCTGGAAGTTTTTTTTAACCTACTTCCAAAACCAGAGTAAACATGAAAAAAAACAGAGACTATATTGAGGTCCTGCAGATGGCATGTCTCCACAGAAGGACAACCCAGTTTAGGAGTTATTAACTGGGTTTGAATTTGCATGGAATTAAATGGCTATAATGGTCTATGAAAGCCAAAATAATTAAAAACCTCAAATACAAACCTACCCTTTGACATACTGAAAACATGCCATCCTTTTAAAGTGAAGTACTGCAGAACACAACGGTACACATTTCCAAGTAAGAGTTTGTCTTTGCCTAGTAGTTTTAAAGTGATTATAGGCCAACTTATGAAAAGTAGATTACAGCTCAAGAGTAGAGTATGAGAGGAATACATCATGTTACATTGGTCAAGAAATGAGAACCTTCCCATGTTGAAATAGTTTAAAATGCATTTGACTTGGAACAATTTGAAATGTAAACCTGTCTATCAGCTTTGAAGAGCAGAAGTGCAACATTTCCAAGAGTCCTTCAGGTATGGATACTTTATTGCTACAGGACTCCCTCCCTACCCCCACTACTACCTAGTGGGACAAAACATACAAGCTTTGCTCCTCAACAGCATTATACAGTAATGTTTTCTTACAGCCCATGTGATGCTGTTACAGCAGTTCACATTCCTTTTCCAGTATTAATGAGAATTTATATTTAAAGTGCATCTCAAATCAGGAATGTACAAAAGTAATCTGCCGAGACTCGTGGAAGTATATTGGCTAACTCGGATCACTAGAATAGCAAGTGCCTTTTAATTTACTGGTAGGACAGAGAATAAGTTCAGACACTTACAACACTTGTAAATAAGCATAGCTCCAGATTTGACCAGATTCAGGGTGCTGTTTGTTTTGGTTTTTGGTGTTTTTTTTTTGCAAATAGAGTTGCATACACATACAGAGGGCATATTTTATTCTACACGGAAACATTTAACTTAGTTAATGAGTCTAAACTTTTAAGTAAGTGAGCGTAAACCTTTAGTCCAGAATGTTGGTTTTTAACACTTAATACTTTGCTAACCATCCACCCCAATTCACCCATCACAGAAACATTAAGAAAACTAGATTTGTTAATTTCTGCAGAAATGAAAAAAACATTTGAGTAGTTTAAACATCTACAACAAAATTAAAAATGTTAAATATATTTTAAAAAAACAAATATTTGCTGGTACAATATCAAGGTCTTTTGAAAAAAGCTCCCTGAAGAACATAACATCAAGCAGCTCCAGTCACTCAATGACAAAGAAAATGACTCCTCTAAAAACAGTAAATAGCATAGTTTCCTCTGATTGTGCCAGTTAACACTTTGCAAACATTATTTAACCTTTACAAGCCATCACACAAAGTTGCAGTACCATTTTGATGAACAGATGAAGTCACTACGTTTACTGTGGTTGAAGACAACGTGATCTTAAAGGCAAAAAGCAGTTGTCACTTGAACTAGTACATGGTTCTTGCTGCTCTGACCGGAGCTCTGGAGGGAGCGGGGGGGCACCAGGGTCTCCAGGCCCTGGGAGAGTGCCTGAGAAAACGGCACCCTCTGCATTTCCCATCTCTGCAATGGGCAAATTCATTGAATGAAGAGAGACAGCAGACACAAATGGGGCAGTGCTATAATCTTCTTCTGGATGATGTATCTGGGTAGATTCTTTGTCTCTTGTTTTATCAAAAGAATTAGATTCATCAGAATATGATCTAGAAAGATTATTTGTTCCTTCATACAGTGAGGTCATACAGGTGCTGCAGCTTAGACCTAAGACAAAAAACAGAGACTGGATTTAATCACAATATGGTGTACTCTTAAAACTGTGCTCTGAATCAATATTAGTAAGATTGTTCAAGATCAATTGTCTGTATTTTTTGTTTAAAAACTCTTCATCTCACCCGTGGTATCCCAATATTCATAACAAGTTAAAAAATATATGGAGGTTATCTAGGCTGATGTGAGTGATTTCTCTGTATCAGCTACTATTTGACAAAGATGCACCGTAATTTAAGATCCTTCTTAGGAAGTCACTTTAGTCCTTTGACCCATTTTTTGACATATTTTTCTGTGTTCTTCAAACTTTTAAAGCTTCACCTACACAGTTCTACTCCAAAGAGGACTGCCTTTGAGGGTTGTTTTACCTGAATCCAGAAAAGATTTCAGGTTTTTCATCTCTAGGATTAAAAATGTACCTTCTTCCTTCTTTATTTCCCTTTTGATGAGTGTGGAAGGGGAAGTAAGCTTTTTGGTTTACAAGGCTTCTGCGTTCTTTATCTGCTTTAAAATATGAGTGCATAAAGTTACTTCAAGCTTTGAGTGTCAACAGAATCTCTCAGCCTGTATGATGCAACACATACATAATTTAAAGTGCCTAATTTTAAGCTTTGGCATTGAAGGCATACAGGAGAATTCACTTCAGGTTGCATTTGTTGACTTAGCTTCTGCTGAGATTAAAGAGAAATGCAAGGTGGAAGATAACCACCTATTTTAAGTTCTGAATTAGAACCACATAGAAAGCAAAACTGAAATGTGAAGACAGACGTCATAAAAACACATGACAGGCTTTTTTGCAATTTGTTATTTATGATGTGTTCAGATGGTAAAAAAGCAGCCAGGATATGTGCACTAGGATCTTAAACACAAACTGGTGATATTTCCAAGAATGTTGTCCCAAACACTACAGGAAGGAAAAAAAAATAATCTGTACTAAGAAAGATGACTTAAAGAATAGTTGGAAGTTTAATTTTGCAGACCCTCAAAATAAAACTAATGCCTTCCAAAATGTCATTATGAACTTCTCACCTTTGAGAGCTTCAAGTTTTTCATTTTTGACTTTCAATACTACATCGGTTATCTTTTGTAACAGGAAGTTTTGTGTTCTTTCTCGTCTGATAGATTCAACCAAAACATCTAGTCCCTTTGGGTTTTCTGCTAAGTAGTCCAGTAACTTCCCAGTTTTTTTCCTACTGGAAGATCGAGAAGAAATTTCTTCTGTGTCCTCTCTTGTGAGTATTTTCTTTGAACGTAGGTAATCAAAGTGTCTCTCAGCTATGATTTTATCACACAGGTAAGGACGCATCCTTTCTAAAGCCTGAAAAACAAAGCAAACTGGAATTAGCCAATCACTCAATTTATTTAGAAGCCTGTATTTGAAACATGTGTGCTTCTTGACATGGGTTAATGAAACAATTTTTAAAGCCGCCACCATGTTACCTAGCAGAGATTTTTCTGTTAGTTGTCTCATTTACTAATCTCTTCCATTAGTTTTCTTTGAGCGAATTCAGGAGTTTTAATGCATGTTAAGTAAACACTCATTCTCACTGACTACCCTACTGCCACATTTCCATATGATTTATACCCACGAGGCACAACTTCAAAATACTGCAATTATTGATGTTTTCTGTACACTGAGTAAAAGCAGTCTCAGAGCAACAGCATGAATGTACTCACTGTTTAAAAGGTCTGTTAAACAAACACCATGATTTACAAGTTCAACAGATTACTGGCATCTAAAATAAATGCACCTTCATCCACAGATGTATTCTGAACAACTTTATTAGCTTTTATCCTCATTAAGCTGCCTTCTTTTTGTTTAAGATTTGATATAAAAAACCTGAAGGAACTTGCTGCAGAGACCACTGAGATTTAGTGGAACTGATGATCCTGGCAAAAGCAAAATTACTCTACCCTGCACAGTGTAACTTCAGCTTACAAGTGTAAATTGGTTGCTTAAAACCTGTCTATAACCAACAAAAAATAAGAGGTGGAACAATCTGCCCATGGGAGGGGACATACAGTCAATTAACATTGGATATGATTAAGCAGGGATACCTGTCTCAAACACTTCAGTAGCAGTGCCACTTTGCGCGTTCAGGAACTGTCACAGCTAGTAGCAAATCACATTCCCTCACCTCTTCCTGGGAAAACACGCTACCTTTTGTAACCATGTTAAATTATAAACTGACTACCAAATTACTTCAGAGATATTTTTTTTGGGAGCAATGTCAGAAGCAAAGACTGCCATGTCATTACTTTGATTTCCTCCCTGCAAGACCCACTGTCCCCTCCTACACCGACCAACTTATTTTTACAGCTCTGAAAGAAAATCCTAGTCTTCTTCCACCTTGTTCAGACGGTACATACAAGCAAACAGGTCCCCAAATTGTATTAATCACATGTCAATCTGTACATTAATAAATCTGCTTGATATCAACATCAAAACAGAATTAATGCCCGTGTCCACAACTCTCTGTTTTCAGTATCTACTACTCTATGAAGATGAATCACAAATGACATCTCTGTGCTTGAAAAACAAGCTCTCATTTTACATAATAATACAAAATCGGCAGTTTCTCCCACCACATTTTTCACTGTGCAGAATTGCACAGTAAGTCAGATACCCACTAGCTGAATATTACTGATGTGAAAAAGCCAGTAAGCTCTCTCCCAAGTCTCATTTGATTAAAAAAGGAGGAAAAAAAAAGATTTCAGAGCCAGAAGGAAACCACCTTACATACAAGACATGTAAAGAGCTGGAAAGAAACAAAATTCTCCTGAAGAAAGTTTGCAAATATCCTCCTGCTTTCTGAGATCAGGTTCCATAAGAGCAGAATTTAAAAATTAAAATTTTAAAATTAGTTTGTCTTATAGCCATTTACTAGCTCAGTAAACAGAAATGGAGGAAAAGCTAGATACAAAGATACACTTCAAGATTATTTCAAACAGCAAAATACTATCTGGCATACTGGTGCTACGGAAAACACCAATAACTCAAAGAAAAATACTTCCTGGACTGCTGCACCAAGTGGAGCAGAGGATAAACATGTACTTATAGTTGCTCTTTAGGATCAAACGAATACTAAGCCATTGATAAACAGCCTGTGGTTACATAGTTGTTAAAGAAAACAAGAGGTGAGCATGCATGGAAAGAAGGCTTCTGGCAGTGGACTGTCACCACTGTATTGAATAAAGGGTAAAGCCAAACATGCAAGGGTCCAGCTCCCTGGAGATCAATGTAAATGCAAGGAGCACTCCTCCTGCATAGCAGCTGCATGTTCCTACCCCTTCCCTTGTGGATAAGAAGATCCAGTCAAGAAACTGAACTGGTGCTTTCCCCCCTCCCCAAAGTCAGATTAACTCCCCAATCCAGCTTTTATTGTGCAGTCACATCAGCACTAGTGGTAATGTAACAACAGTACATTTTATATCCATTTAGGCAGCTCTGGAATACATCTCAAGTATCCAGCTGGAACAAGCCCATGCCTGAATGTAGCAGGAAATACAGATTTCTTCAGTTCTTGTGGATATCTTACCCTTCCACCAGGAGGATGAATCAACAAACTCTGAAACATAAGTCAGTCAATGTTTCAACATGAAAAGAGTAGAGTGAGGTGTTACTGAGAAGAAAGGTAATATTGTGTTTTACTAATGTCTTCCTGTAATGAGTCTTCCACTGTATGAAGTGTATCAGTTCTGAATTCCTCACTGCACTGTCCTCACAGGTTAACAGCTTATGAGGGACAGAAAATAAACACATTAGAATAGAAGCCTTAAATATGCTTTGCTCTGTATCAATGACTTCTTATGCACTCCTATGAGATGCATTCATGAATTCAGTCACTAACACGGATTAGAATACAGATAAGGCTTTATATATACTCTGATTTAAGCAGTTCTTACCTTTTTTTTTTGTGTGACTATCAGATGCTAACTATTGCAGTATTACCCTGTGGCTCCACAGAAGTAATAGGTAGAGAAACGTGCCTAAAAACTATGACCAAGCATTTAAAGACAATGCTGCATGCATAAAGCCAGAAGAAACCAAAACCCAAGTCCCCATACTCTTTACTGTACTTTAAAAAGAACATAAAACACCAAGTAAGGCAAACATAAGACAATGTTAATTACAAGCAGAAGCACAGAGTGTCAATAATTAACTGATAAATTGCGACACTTTCTTCTTTTCAACCCAACCAACCAAACACCCGCTGAGGTCAGCATGCTGCTTGCTCCTCAGTCCAGCAGCGAGATCAGTAAACCCAGACTGATCGTCCCTCGGATTCCAGACACCAGTGAACAAGTACGGGGGGAAAAACCGAGAAACATACAGAACAAAAAGCCTCCAAAAGTTATCACCATTGAAACCAAAGATTCATGCTCTGTAAGAGAAAATCCTGCAGACACCGAGAGAAGCACGTTTACATCTGGGGCCCCTCTTCGGACCGGCACTGCCCAGCACCTCTGCTGGGGCGCACAGGGACCCCCCCAGCCCCGGGCCCCGCTGCCCCGGCCTCACACGCCACAGGGAGCAGGGCACCCAGGGAACACCCGAGCGAGCGGAGCTGCCCGGGGAACACCAGGCCCCAGGGCTACGTTCTCGCAGGTCCCACCCCC